GAGGGAAAGTGGTTTACCCTTAATTTGTTTACATTATTTAATTGTCGTCGTTGACTCATTTTTAAGCATTTAATTCAGTTACGTATTATTCAAATACGTGTGATAATTATTTTGTCAATGTCTTCTACTGTTGACAAAACGAAACATTCCATTTAGTTGAATTGTTTCCTATATATATATATATTAAAATATTATGACCATTTTCAAGTCATACATTTATATTTCAAAGTATAATCCCATCCACTGGGCTCAAAACCATGCACAGAATTTTCTGATCTCAAATGATCATATCATTATGAATATTTTAACACAATTCTCCGTGTGCGTGTGTTAATTCTAGCCAAGCACTGATCGTCAAACTAGATACGCAATAGGGTAAAAATATGATAATCTGTTGCAGATGGTATTTCTGCTGAGGAAGAATGATTAATTAAATCAACTTGAGTAACAACATATTGATATGTATATCATGATGTGCAGTCTTTTCCTAACCATTAACATACGTTCTCATAGCGCTAAGGCTATGTAGCTTATTTTGAACATATAATTTTTTTATATTTAAGATGTGACCAGACTGGCTAGAAACCTAACATCATATACTTGATTGTAACATTATCAAAACACTTTTTTTGGTTTTAATTTCGCGCCAATAAGAAAAAAAAGATTGTTTCCTTTGGTTTTTCAAACGAAAAGCCTATGGGTATGAATAGGTTTCCTAAAAGTACCCCAATGTCTCAAATATAAGGTAATGCACGTTACATAGTATTTAATTCTTTTTTCAGTAGAGTGATGAAGCAATTAGTATGTCTATGCTAAAATATGCAAAAACTATTAAAATATGATTTTTCTTAAATATTAGAATGATTTAGAGAAGATTGACCTATATTTAGTAGGATAAAAAAATAAGGAACTGTTTGGAAAAATGTATATAATTTTTCTAAATATTCCATGATAGTTTATTCATGTATTTCTGGCTAATAATTTGACAAGTCTTACTTTCTTAGATATTACTGAAATGCAAAAGTTTTAGCGAAAGATACAAAGATTTTTGCAAGGATTCCGTATAAGAAATTATTATGTAGAGTAAAATCAAACCCGCCATCATATTCAAAGCAATAATATGAGTATAAAGGTTTCCAAACTGTATTGTAAAATGAAGTCAATAAGAAAATACAGAGGAAGCAATTCCGCTCCGTATTCTTAATGTATTGAGAGGTGACCAATTTGTTCCTGGACTAAACAAAAATAATGATTCCTGCGGTTATTATAAAGGTGATGACGAATGTACCAACACCAGAAAAAAATATACGTTAAAAGGGCAAATGTCAGTTGTTTAATAACTCATTGTACACAACTTTCTACTTGCTAGATTAATATGATAGCGTTTGTGTTTTATTTATGTATTGTTCATATATATAAATATTTGGAATAACGAATAATTGTGATTAAATTAAAATTGTCATTTCATTGTAAAGCTGAGATACCTATCTTTTCTGTTTGAAATTTTAGCATGGAAATTTAATAATAAAATTTTGACACTAATGTTGCTAATATATAATATTCGAGTGTTTTAACATCTGCGAAGAAAAACTTCAAATTAACTTTTAGTTTTGCCACATTTTTATGTTCTGTAAAACATTTTTTTTATACTTTTATTAAAATCGAAATGCTTGTTTGAACTGTCTAAACTCGGATATGTTTTAATATACAGTTCTTGATCTATGAATCCTTTACACGCAATATACTAGCACAGGTAATTTCATTGGCTCAGAGGTTAAGTCTCAAGGTCTACAGTGCTAAAAACTGGGTTTCGATACTCGTGGTGAACATGACACAGGTAACCCATTTTGCAGCTTTACGCTTAACAGCGAACGAACAAAGTTATAAAAATTTTAATTATTTTAAAGTTGTTAATAAGATGCCTTTATAGACCATAAATTAACTCTGAATATATTCAGACATAATTATTCGTTATAAAGTAATGTTGAGATGAGTTTGATCACAAAAGATGTTCATAATGTTCAAAATTACTAATATTTAATATTTTTCTTCCTGACTCATCATATATACAAGTTGAAGCTACAACCGACATCGCTCGCTGACTCATTTCCAACTCATGAATATCTGAAGAATGGGCCAGTAGAAGAAAAAGCGTAGCAATACTAAAAGTTAACTTGAATTGTTAAAACACTCGAAGATTCTGTATTAGTAATATCAGTGTCAAAACTTCGTTATTAGATTCTTCATGCCAAAATTTAAAACACGGGGGATAGGTGCCTCAGCTTTACATTGAAATGAAAAATTTGATTTTCAACGAAATTGCTATTATTCATTAAGAATAGAATTACAACATTATTGTATATGTGAGGCTAAAAATAATGAACTACAAACAGATACATCATGTGAGCTAGTCTTATGTTCTACAAACACGTACGCCAATCAAGAAATCTATATTCTGAATATATTTAGATACGTTATTAAGATAAGCAACGAGTATGTTGCTGTGAACACAGGAAGGTTATAACTATTAATATGATAAGGATTGTGTAGTTTTGTACAAGTTAAGGGTCTGACGATAGTATATGAGAGGCGACGAGTGTTTTAGCTAAAAAGTGACAACTTCATTATGTTAAGGTTTTATAGCTATAATTTAGCGAGTGTAAAGTTTTAAGGTTATATAACTATAACTTAGCGAGTGTAAAGTTTTAAAGTTATATAGCTATAACTTAGCAAGTGTAAAGTTTTAAGGTTATATAGCTATAACTTAGCGAGTGTAAAGTTTTAAATTTATATAGCTATAACTTAGGAAGTGTAAAGTTTTAAGGTTATATATCTATAACTTAGCGAGTGTAAAGTTTTAAGGTTATATAACTTAGCGAGTGTAAAGTTTTAAGGTTATATAGCTATAACTAAGCGAGTGTAAAGTTTTGAAGCGAAGAAATACGTTTATTTGAGCCAGAAAATGTATTTCTTTTAGAAATCCTAACCAACTGTGTTAAGTTTCATTTTATCGGGTTTATAAATCCGCGAAATCTATTTGTTGATAAGTGCCCTTCTGTCGTTTTTGTGTTTATAAAATGAATTTTTTTTCTTTAGCGAATAAAGACCATTGAAATAAGAATTTATAGTGTAACTGTAGACGTGTTCCTAAAAACGTTCATAAGTGTTAGAATTTTTATAGTATGCAGATACTATTCATTTCCAGATACACGCACACAGATGAATAAGTATAGTTTATTAATTTGTCAGTCTTTAGAGCAAAGCAGAAGAGCCGCTGCATGAAAGGAAGGAGGTAAGTAGGCCTAATAAAAAACATTTGTCAGTGTTATAATCGTATTCCGTCTGTTTGTTCAATTAGACAGAATAAGGCAATTACAGGATAAGAATGAAAGGCAAAGTCCAGACTACAACTTAGCGTGATTTGAAATTTATAACCTTTCATATAAGCTAGCAACATCACAGTCAGCCACGCTCCTGTGAACTCTTGTATATATACTACGAACAAACTTCTGTGACTATGGATGTGCTACAAACAGAAACCTCTTGATGTAGTACGAACACATTCATGCCGTTATTTTTATGTTCTACAAACAGAATCGTTTAAATAAATCATTCTGATATATTACAAACACACATACGCTCTGAAGAACTATAAATACACTCCTGTGATGCACTACAAACAGGTACACCTTGTGAGCTATTGTGATGCTCTATATACGTAAAGTTGTATAATGTACTACAAACAGGTACACCGTGTGAGCTATTGTGATGTTCTATATACGTGAAGTTGTATAATGTACTACAATTAGATATATCCTGTGACTCTTCTGGTGTTTTACAAACGGACACGCTCCTGTGAGATCTTCTATAAACACATACGTGAAGGTTTCTAATGTACTACAAATTGGTTCATCCTGTGAGCTAGTCTGATGTTGTACAAACAGACATACTCCTATGAATTCGTCCATTGTATCATAAACCCAGACACTCCTGTCTATTTTCTGAGGCACTCACTATAAACAGGTACACTTAGACACTCCAATTATATGAATATTTTCCACACACTCTCGTTAAGTCTTCTGGAACTACAATCAGGTTCATTTCAGTGACTTTTTCTAACGTATCATAAACACACACACTTCCACGAAACTCTGTAACGTGATATAAACAGAACAATTTGTGTTTTTCTGATTTGCTATAAACAGTCGTTTCCCTATGAAGTTATCTGACGTTTTATAAACACACACACTTCTATGAAGTCTTCTATTGTACTACAAACAGGTACCTGTCTTTGATTGTTTTGATGTATTGCAGACGGACACGTTCTGATATATTAAAGACCTTCTGATGTTTTACAACCAGACACTCTTCTGAGAAGTCTGCTAATAAATCACAGACACATATTTGTGTGAATTATTTTGGTGTATTACAAACAGACACGCTCTATTGTACCACCAACACATTCGTATGGTCTACAAATAGACACTCTAGAATATGGTTTCTGAACATATCTATGGAAAACATTCTTTTAAAGCATCAGAGAAGCTCTGTAAGAAGAAACGTTTTATCTATCGTTCTACGTGGACAATTTTGATACCGAACGCTTACGTGCACAAGGAAACACTTGCCACGTTAAGGTTAATATACAGAACGTTCTAACCTATACAAAGGCCAGTGTGTGTCACGTAACGTCACGATTGATTTCTCGAAATAGGAGGAGTCATAAAAGCCAAAATGCATTTATCCAGACAGAATAGTTCGATTATTGTCTGACCATCACCATTTTAGTGACGGGGATGCAAGGGAGCCGCGAACCCTTATAAGTGTAGTAAGTGTTAGTCTAATAAGCCTAAAGTAAATACGTAGTGTGGAATCACCTAGCCTAGAGCCAAGCTCATAAATTTATCATTAAAGTAAATATATTGATTGATATAACAGAAAATAGCTTAATTCAGAAATGATTTAAGTTAAAAATTCCCCCAACATTTTTAATAAGAAACAAACATCTTTAAATCAACAGAGACACTAAATTAAGAAATCAACAAATATTTTTTCAGTTTTGTTATCTATATATTTCATTTTATACTTTCAGTACATACACTAAAAACAGTATTAGGTTATACTTTTGTTGCTAAGCAATATCACATAAAAGCCATTGTTGCAACATAGGCTTTTCTATGTATTAGAAGTTGTTAATTTAACTGATTTTTACCAATAAGTATTGTATGAGTACGCCACGAATTCATTTCATGAATGATCTTAATTTTGATTGGCTCGCAAAGGAATTTGTTGACGTTTGACTGCTTCAACTGCACATTTCAGTCTCTTTGTGATCAAGCTTTCACAAAATTTATTTATTTCAGTTAGCTATGAAATTTGAGGTTAGGGTATAGTATGTGGTGGGGTTGGTAGTACTTTTTGATAGATCTAATAGATAATAATAAATTAACGTTAATTCCCCTTTGTTATTTCAAACACATGATAAAACCCTTGGAACTAATTAAAGCCTTAGAGATCTACAACCATCTGTTTGCACTTAATTTAGTCTTAGAGAACGTAATCGAAGTGGATTTTTTAAATGCCTGTATAAAATTATACATTGATAGCTAAGATATTACAACTGTGAAATATCTTGTATTAACTGTTTTAACAAATTTCAATAAAAGTGACACTGAGCCAATCTGACTTGTGATTTTGATAAATGTTTTGATCAGTCTTGCCTGAGAATAAAGATACTTTTCAGTTTGTGTTAGCATTAAAATTATGTGATGTGTAACAACATTGACTATTACCAGGTTAATGTTAAAGACTGGAAAGATAAAATGTCAAGTGTTTTATTAGATTACTTCTAGTTATCCTAATTAATTGATTGTTATGTTGCAGCTCAAGCCTGATATGAAATCATCAGTACAGCATCATAAACATTACTGTCTACATATCTCAGGAAACTGCTCGCCCACAGTAGACCATTGTATCATTCGTAGTACGTCAGTGGGTAAGTCCACGTCTTGCATGTTGTGTCTTCAGCTCTTATTCTAAAAGTTAGTCAATGTTCTCACTTATTGTTCTGTAATTTTTATAAAGTAAACATTATTGCTGTTATTAGTTGTTCATCCATTTGTTATGAAAACCTCATTATATCCTTCATATTTGGTGCTGTTAAATCAAAATTTCAGTTGTCTATTTGCATTTTGGCAATTCAGTCAAGGTCTGTCAAACCTCACAATATTTCAGCTGATTTTCAATATGAAAGAAATTTTTAATCTTTCATAAGTGGTGTTCGAACAGTGTAGGTGATATGTGTTACTAAACTGGGTAACTTGTGTATACGTAGTTAACTTTAAAGTGATTCCAATATTAATAAAAAAATATGGTGTTCGATCTAAATAGCAAGCAATTTTTGTCATTGTACCTAACATGTTGCAGTTCCCTCAAGTATATGTTACTCTCCATCACCTCTTATCTGTCCTACTCAATTTTTTAAATTGTAACCATTTCTAGCTTATTATAATTTGACATCTTTGACTAAAATATTTGAATTTTATTTTCAGTTGTTCATTGAAATTTATAATATAATTATAATGTCCAATTTTTTTGTTTATGGCAGTAGGAGCAGCAATATGTGTTAGTGGTTGTGGAGCAGAACCAGTCATCAGGCATTGTGATATCAGTGACTGTGAAAATGTCGGCCTTTATATCACTGATTATGCTCAGGTGAGTATAAGCAAAGTTAATTGCTTTTTTTATTACTGTTTTATATGTTAGTAAGATCTGATTGTAAATGCTGAATTTACAATCGTGTCTAAATATACTTAAAATTTGAAATCAATCTTTTACCAAATAATTATAATAAAATGCTTATTTCGTTAAAAAAAAAATGAAGGGTTCATTATCAAACCTTTTAATATCCTGTTTGGAAAATACAAAGCTTGTGAGCTTACAGCCATTAAAGATACCAAAAATTTGTAGCAGAAGTATTATTAAGTAATTAGATCAAAATGTGTAAATTTTAAATATGATGACAACTTTTCATCTCAAGTATTTAACTCATACTTCAATGGTTCACCACCTTATTTTTATTTTTTTATAGTGCTTTAGAAGTGTTTTTAGGCTACATGAAGTTATCTCTTACTGTTTTAAATAGAATGATACTCATACCTGAAATAAGAAAGCAGACAAAAAAAATCTCAAGTTTTCCAGGTTGCTAAGCCTAATGTGGCAATTTCTATTTTTTCAGAATAATTTCTTTGAAAATTTTTTATTCTTTTTTGTGTATATAATTGACTGTTTTAGCTGAAAATATAGTGTTTTATACTTAGGTTCATATTTACGGTCACCTCAGCTACTT